CCAGTTTTCACTGGAAACTATCCGAAAACCTTTAATAATGCAGAAACACTTTGAAGTCACTGCACTTTAATTCAGACCCATGGACATTTTTCAAAAAGAAAGGCTGACATCAAACCACTGTCATTGTCTGTGCGGAACTTCAATAAATATTTGGCCCTCACTGCAGTCAAGAATGAAGCTTCCGAGTTTCAACAACAACAAAAAGCTTTTGTGTTTCTCAGCTTTGTAGCTCCTACTCAGATGAAGAGAGATATGACTTTCTTCAGAAAATTAAAGGGTACAGTAGGTCTTGTTTTTACAATTCACTTTTGCTGTGAATTTAAATGTGAAAGAACCTCTGTGGTGCTGTACAGAGACAGGACCTTTTCTGAAAACGTTTATGTCCATTTTAGTATAAACAATAATGAAGACTCCCGAGATAGTGGTTAATGAAGCTCTCCTTTGCATATAAAAGGAGAAGTGTACATGCAGTATCACCTTAAAGTCACCAGCATGATTTAAACTTTGAGAAAAGTTTAAACAAAGAAATGCCCCAAACAAAACAATGCAGTTGCTAGCATGGGTACTGATACCCTGTGTCATGTGTTAACTTACTTAACCTTCCCTGATGTGGATTAATAGATTCACATTAAGAAAAAACCTTTTGTGACATTTGAACTGGGACTTATCAGTTCAGTGAATAATTATTTAATAATCTTGTTTTAGAAATAAATAAACAGGCTTAGCTAGGAAAACCCTCTGAGGAAGATATTCCCTACCTTTAAATTTTCCAAAATGTATATATGATTTAGGTGAAACAAAAAAGATGTGGAACAGAAAAGTTGAGCCCTGAAGGTGTGCTGTTAGGGGGTTTCTAAATGTTGATTTATTTCCAGTCTGTCCCCATTTGAAGGTGGTTTCGAAACAGGAGATTCATCTGATTATTACCTTGTTAGAACAAGGAAAAAAAACTCATTTTCTTCACATTTTAAAATGGTATTTCAAAATCAAAATACATATTGTAGGCCAATGGAAATTCTTTCTTACTACAAGGGACCTGTCTATTTAGTGATGTGGAAAATTTACACTTTTTGTTGAATGAAAGCAAAGCTCCTTAGTCAGAAACAAATAAGTATTAAAAACACAGGTAGCCTCAGCCCTTATCACATTGGTGTAAATATTAATATTCTACTCATTGGTCTTTGAAACAGGGTATCCCAAACTTTATTTTCTGTGTCAAGAAGTGTACCATGTATAGCAATCACAGTTAGTGTACTTTCTTCCTATTTTCTGTGTGCAACACAAAGTAAAAATAGTCTTCAAAGACAGAACAAAATAAAAGAACTCAAGATATTCATATTTTAAAAATAAAAGGAAAAGAAAAACATCCCCAATCAAACCCTGAAAGGATAAAAAAAAACACACACATTGTAGCCCTGAACAACTTAAAAAAATCAATACATCTGAGCAGCTGTAAATAGTGCTGATAAAAAAACCAAGGATATGTCTTCACATGAACCTAGATCTTTCAAATAGAACTTCTCCAAAAGAGGAGCAAATCTACCAGAGAAGATGGCACGCTATACAGCTACCTTTTCACCTGATTGACAGCAGAATATATATTATTTATGCGTATTATAGCCCACATAAGGCTGAATAAAAGAAGAAGAAAATGTAAATACACAAGAAAATGTAAGAAATCTGAAAAATTCTAGTTTTAAATGACAGACATAAATGAAGCAAAAAAAAGCTTCATTTAGATCTCTATTTTATTCCACATGTGTAATAATTTACTTTTAATTCTAACCCCCTTTGATTTTATAATCGTTCTACTCTAATACAGTGGGGTGTGCGTGTGTGTATTAAAGATTAATGGAAGGGGTCCTGTCAAACACATTGCGAAATTAATCGATCTGTATCGACGGGCATCTTCAATTTTTCCGTTGCCCTGATATCTCCAGAGAGCGTACACTTGAAACAATTCTTAAACAAACAAAAAAAAAAAACCCAACAACAAATGCACAAAAATTGACATTTAAATATTGAAGATGTACACTGCTCAGCACAAAGGAAAAGAAAGCTAAACAAGCTTTGAGCAACCCGGTTGTCTAAAAGGCAATATTTGTGGTCTTGCATTTCTGGCAGATCTCAAAATAAATATGGTGATTCTGTATTTGTAATATCGAGGCTTAAAACCACACTCTGGCAGCACTGTACACTATATACAGAAGAATTGTTCAATGATAAAATATCCTTTGTTGTACTCAGTTCATTTTTAACCCATGAAATATTACAGTTAATTCCTCAAGCAGGCAATTTCTCTTGTACAAAGTTATCCATGCAACCCCTCCCACCCCTTAAATACACTCACTGAATCTGCCCCCAATATACAAGAGCAGCAGATATTGCCTTTTCAAAAATTCAATGTGCAAGTTACCAAAGAGAGACTACCTCTTCAAAATAATAAAAATAAACAAACAGGTGCAATATAAACACAAAACCCAACTCTTTACAGTATCATCCGACCCTCCCTGGACATTAATGAATGGGATACTGCTTACTATATACAGACATGTTTTTTTCCATGCACAGTGTTAACAAGTACCACATTAACATTCCCAAATATGGGCATGGCAGATGAGGAACGTGGGTAATACACAGAGGAGCTGCACAGATGCCACACAGGCACACAACACCATTTTAAAATGAGACTGAGCAGAAAAAGTCCTTTAAATACCTTCACTGCACAGGACACAGAATGTATGGCTGTACTTCATGTTGGTCTTTTGTCGATTAAACGGATACAAAGGCGGAGGTCGAGTCCTTTTTGTCTGCTATGGTCGAAAAGCTAACAGTCAAAATATGTGGGAAACATTACACCTTCTCGGTCTTCCTTCAATTTGCTGGAGACGTCACCGGTGGAATTTCTATAAGCAGTTACTAGTGCAATGTTTTCCTTCGTTTACGCCAAAAAATCTGGCTTGAATGTGCACTCCAGAGAAAGTACGTCTGGCCAGGCCAGGGCATAGATTTGCCCTGGTCAGGAAAAACTTGAACGCAGAAAAACAAATAAAAATGAAATCAAAATGGCGAAACCAGAAATCCTGCTGTAAAAGTCTTTCAGACTGAAGCTACTACTACAAACCCTCAGACACCATTAATCACCCTAAAAATCCTAAAACAGCTGCTTAAAGACATTCTGTTAAAAAGTCTGAATTCATAACTGAGAGGGAATGACCTCCAATTCATTTTCAATAGTTTTGAGCATATACTGTACAGTACAGTATATAATTAAAAGACACTTACGTGGGTTATTTATTTATTTTTTTACCAGTAGATTAATCTGAAACTGTTTCATGTAAAGAAAAAAAAGTCATTTGGCATCATTTAAAATAAAATATACTTCAAAAAATGTAATTCAGGTTGGGCACCTAGACTTTTATCTTTTCGAATGAGTGCGCGTGTGAGTGCAGAGCATCTCTTTGGCAAAAGGTCACAAACGCATGGAAATGTCCTGTTCAGAATCTACAGTGTAGGTCCTGCCACTCCTTGACTAAAGTTTTGTCACTCAAAAGGAGATCACAGAGTAATAGGAAAAGTGTAAAAAAGTAGGCCTTGAAGAAACTCCAGGACATATTTTATACATATCGTGTACTGGTCAGATGACAAATTCTGGAAATCTCTTCCAATGAGAAGTGTAATTGTACATAACACCACAAACTGTATATAGTTAGTGTCTAAAAAGAGTTCAATTTCTATGCCAATATGATGTGACCTTCCAAGTTAGTGCTCTGGCAAACCACTATTCAATTATTTAGCCCCACAATTAAGTCCTACCACGTACAGCAGGCAATGAGGACCTCCTTTATTGGCCATGCAGTGTGTTTATTGTCACATGCCACTCTATGGATTGCGGGGAAAAAAACAAACTTTTTAATCACAGTTTTGCCATTTTTCTGTGGCTTTCAATTAAAACTAAGCATCAAACACCCCTCTACCACTGGAGTGTTCACAGCTTAGGTCCCCATCTCTTTTGAATTGATTTACAGCTCAGAAAGTCCTTGACTGCACAGTGGGAGCTGAGAAGTAGGATGTGTTTTTGCCTGGAGTGAAGAGGACAGAGGCAAACACTGAAACACAGTCCTCACAGTTCTCCCAAACATCACTAGTGACTGTGACACTCTGGGGGGGATGGGTTGTAGTTTTCCAGAACATATTTAAAGCATCCTGTGCATTGTTTGCGCAGTTCTGGACACATTTGGTTGTATTTAGCGATTATTACATTTTTTTCCTGTGACTATTTCTTTGGACTGTGGTATGTGTGTTCCGGCCTTTTTACATGATATCTAATTTGGCCTTGCTTTCCCAAGAAATAAAGGGGGATATTTCACTTGTGTACCGAAATTGTAAAAATTCATGTTCCTGTTAATGTCCTAAATACATGTACAGTTTGTATTTAAATAAACACATACAGTATGTGTGTATAATAGTTTAGTCTGTGTGTTTGGGACAGTTACATCCAAAGAATTAATAGCAAACATTACGTCTTAGGGTTATTAGCAGCAACTTTAGTCCTAAATTATATCCCTCCCAGTTAATACATTAAGCACCAACATTCATCTCTGCAGGAACCCTAAAGTGCCAAAGCTCATAGAAAGGTAGTGCTTAACTTAGCAACTCTGAATTTAAATAACGGCTGCCTGCCATTCATTCTTTTGTACGTCACACTCTGGGCAGGGAATCAAACAACTGTCGAGGCCTTTTCTTCATTCTGACTGGACTTGGGCAGCGGGCTGCGCGTTTCCCCTGGAACCAGAGGAAGGGACAAGAACCATCTCCGTTCTTGGCAGCGCAGCCGTCTCTCTCCAGCGCTACGTTTCTCGTTTGATCCTCTGCCCAGGAGGCCACCCCCCCC